TTTGAAATTGAAAAGGGGTGTAAGCCCTTTTTTTTTTTTTTTTTTTTTTGTAGCTTTTGGTTAAGCTGGGAAGGGTAAGAACCACTTCACATTGCTGTTGATGGACCACACTGAATCTGCACCATTTTTTCAAAGCCGTGCACTACAACACATGGAGTGTTAACATTTGTGCATTGTGTTCCCCTATGTGTGTTACTTGAACACCACAATGCATGCATGCCTGTGCATTACTATGTGTTTGGCTAACACAGAGCAATGGGAATAAAAGTGTCTGTGATTTTTCATGTGTTGCTTGGAGGTCCATAGGAAATAGATGTAAGCAAATTTGCCTGTATGTCGATGCTTGGAGCATACCACTGAGCAACATGCCTGAATAGATGGGAAGGATGGGAGCCTATAGTGTTCTTTATATTGAATAGAACGCAAACGAGTAACATTATTGAGGTATGTACCTCTATTAGGGCTCGTTCACACCAGGTGCTTTGAGCTGCATTGATCCAACGCAAGGACACATAGAAGACAATTGTTTTCTATATGCCCTGTTGACACCATATATGTGTGCTTGGTGTATGATGCATAGAAATACAGAATGGCATGTTGCACATGCTGTATAGATTTAAAACAAAATACCCAGCTGGGAGGCTGCCCAACAGAAGTCAGTGGGGATGTACTGGGAGAACAAAATGTCTGTCACAGGGTGTAAACAAACAACCGAGGCCGGGCCAGAACTTGGTAAGCATTTATCTGTGCATGGTAAGGAAAGAGCGACGTTGCCTTAAAGGGGCTCAAAGGTTAAAGGAGAACTAATGAGGTGAGTGATTTACACTCATCCTCATAGTAAAAGCCGACGTGTAACATTGAAACTGTCACACGTCGGCTCTATTGATTGGGAAGTGAGCGATCACATACTATCACTCGCTCACTTCCCGATCATCTCCCTGCAGAGAGCAGTGACTGTCACGGCTGCATGTACAATATTTTGCAATTGCACTGGAACGCACAGCATTGCGGTACTGTGCGTTCCAGTGCAGGCGATCACACGGTGGGTGGGAGGGAGGAGCGTTTGGTGTACCATTGAAATGAATGGCACTGCAACACTCCTCCCGCAGTAGAATTTATCAGTCCAAAACCGAAAATGCCTTTTTCCCCACTCTTTTTACATTTAATAATTGTATTGTAAGCACATGGCGCTTGAATAGCTTCAGGCAGGGAACAAGATTCCACAAACTGCAGCTTAATGTAAATGCAGCAGGTAGTGGGCTGGTGCAATAGCCAGCCTGCTATTGGCCTTTTTCAAATTGCAATAGCCAATAGCAGGCTGGCTATTGCACCCGCCCACTGCTTGCTGTGCCCTCCTCCCAGCATGGAGGAGCGAGTTAGGGGATCCAAGCAACTAATCGATAATGAGAATAGTTGACGACAACTATTATCGATTTTTATCAATCGATTAGTTGGTTGCAAGTGTGATTCCATTCTCCATCTGAGTGATTTGAAGCTCCACCGACACTGGGATTTTTGTTCTATTCCGTGGTGCCCATTCACACCTGAGCATAGCGTCGATTGAAAGTCGAAAAAGTACATGAGCTTCTTTTGGGGTCAGTCGTGCATTTTGCGCTCAATGGACTTCAAAGGAAGCATCTGAAAAACCCACAAAACGTGAAATTTAAAAAAAATGTTTTTCTTGCCTGGTAACTAGTTTCTCATTGGCTAAAAATAACAAATATTGCAGCCTGAAACACACAAACGCTAAAAAAAATGCCTGAAAAACAACCAAAGACGCTCGGCCCAAGTGTGAATGGGGCCCCAGGGATAGCAGTTTATTGATCACACATTGCAGATACGAGGGCCGATTGTGTTGCCAGGTATAGTGCTGATGTTTTGTCTTTTATAAACTAGTTTATGTTGTAGTATATAGAGTTCTACTGTAATATTCTGTTTATTGATAGATCTGCAGCTTGCCGCTGAGCTGGGGAAGACTTTACTGGATCGCAATACTGAATTGGAGGAATCTCTGCAACAGATGTATGACACCAACCAGGAGCAGATCCAGGAAATTGAAGTATGTCATTTGTAATACATTGCACACTGCCGCACATTCACACTTCTGTACAGATAGAGCCCTCTTCTATCTTCTGTTTGTGGCTTCAGTCTGTGTTTTAGTATTCAGAGTTGAATTCAGGCTAGGCAGCTGGTGACTGATCAGCCATTTCCTGCTAACTTGACAGCACTTATTGTGTCACCTGTAGGCAAAATATCAACTGGCTCCTTCGATCAGCTGTTTGAGTAATGCCGTCCGAAAGTGCGACTTTCGGCTGGTTCTTCAGGAAGTTCGCATAATGTATGGCCAGCTTAAATTTCCAAATTAAATCTGTACCCTAAAAGAAACCTATATCAAGAATGTCTAGGTGTGATGGAAAGAAGGTTAAGATCCTTTTTATCAAGGATTACCTCATCTCTCCTATAGTGGTCTTAAGACCAGTGCCGAGGCGGTGGTCACATGGTCCTGGAACTGAAGTGCAGCTAGAACAAGCTTCTCATTGGCTCAACCCGAACCATGGTGATCTATGGCATGGTTGGTGCCTCTGCATTAATCATGTGACCTTACTTTAGAGATCAGAGTTCCATCAGTGACTGGATACATGTGGCTTTTTCTGATCTTGACCTTCTTCTTCTTCTTTTTTTTTTTTTTTTTTTTTAGCATCACACAATGTTATTATTTTAACAAAGTTCTAGGTCTATGTTAAACCAAATGCCTTTGCACATCCAGATAATAGCTAGTAAATATAGTGGTGACATCTTCATTGTGATGAACATATCCAGAGCAGTGGTTGGTCCCAGACTCCCAGCAGGTCCTCACACTACAGGGAGGCAGATAGAAGACCAGTCACCATTTACAAGGAGAGAGGAGCAGTGACAGGTCTGTGTTACAGGAAATTCCTGCACAAAGTACAACATGCACGTTGACTGGCTGTCATACTGACCCTCTTGATTCAGTTTAAGTTTCTGAAAAGGACTACAGACTTTACTTTGACATTCCTGATCGGCATACTTGTCCCAGGTCATTTTTATCTAGTCAATTCATAAAGAAAAAAATTGAAATTCTACATACAATAAAGTGTGTGTGTGTGTGTACCGCTGTTCTAGGTCCTACCAATGAATCTTGCTGTTATCATAGCACTATGAGGCCTACAGCTCTAAATATAACCTTGCTTTCTGCCCCATAAGAAGGGTTAATCTGAATCGGGACATGGTGACCTGCTCCAGGTTAATCCACACTTTACAACAAATCCTCCTTGTATAAAGATGTCATAGGCAATGATACTGAGAGGTTTGTTGAGGGTAATACAGGTTTTTGTATGAAAAAGCCTCATAATAAAGAGCAGCTGTGAGGGCCAGGAGTACCTTCTTAATCTGAAACACAGGAACGTGCCATGCATAGTACATGTATTGACTGACTCCTCTAGAATGAAGTGTCCAAGGGCAATTGATCTTGCCTCCAAATCAAAACAAGGCCTGACCTGGAAGCTGCTTCTACTAAAGCTGGCCATGGACTGTTTCTTCACTCCATTTTTTTTTTTTAATCTTTATTTTTTCAAAAACATTCAAAACGACAATTAATAACAATGACCGTAGAACAGATACAAGAAAAAGTTAACAGCGTGCTTCCTCCCCAATTACCCCACAAAACTGCTGTACAGAATGGCAGAAAAAAATGTTATACCTATCATTAGTAGTCTGAGGTAAAGGTTAACTTATTCCAATAAAACCAAGCCCTGCTGATTTGCACTAACCCTCATATCCTCATTGACCTTGCTAATTCACAGTCTGATAAAAGGGGGGTGTTCTGTTTCCAATAGAGCGGGATACAGGCTTTGGCTGCATTAAGGTGTAAAAGCATATATTAATTGTGTTGCTTTATTTAAAGGGGGGCAAGATACCAAGCAGGCATATACGTATAACATCCAAGCCAGGAAAAGCCATTTGGGTCAGTGTTTAGCTGCTTTCATATGTCTTACCCATCCCAATTCTATGAGGTACATCCAATATAGCAGAACACACTGCAGCAATCTAGTATCTTTCCACAAGTTGAAACCGTGTGCAAGTAAATGTGACTTTATAGGGAACTTGCCATTTAATTTTGCGGTTTGATTTCATTTACTTTTATGCTAGTACCTGACTAAGCAGGTGGACTTACTGAGGCGGATGAATGAGCAGCATGCCAAAGTGTATGAGCAGCTGGATGTCGCCGCCAGAGATCTGGAAGATGCCAATCAGAAGCTGGTGCTGGAGAGCCGGGCATCACAACAAAAGATTAATAGGTAAGAATCCTTATTACATTCCGCTCCTTTTTATCCAAGCACAAATGCTATCACATGGCAAGTACAAAACAAAGTCTTATTTCCAGTAGGACCAGTTTTTCACCTCTATGTATCTCACATGTTATGCTTTTTGTGTACTGTATTTTTTTTCTTCTTCTATGCAGGATTGAAGTGTGTGTTGAAATCTATTAGAGTGAATGTTCATGTACCATGTTATAGAGGTGTCCTTACCCCACTAATCTTTTTTTTTTTCAGATGGAGTGATTAGAACCATGTATCTGTGGCTAAAACCGCGAGCTGTAATTGAATTTGTGGCGAAAGAGGGTTGCGCATCTAAGGAAATCTATAATTGGATAAATAATGTTTATGGGAACGCCGTAGTGGAATTTCGGTCTCTCCTTTTTGAAACGTCTTCCCCCAGCACTGCACATTGCTAATGTCCACTACAGCATCCCTATAAACATTCTTTAGCTGGATTTCCTTAGGTGCACAATCCTCGTTTGCTAGAAAATTCATTTACAGCTCGTTGTTTTAGCTGCAGATCCATGGTTCCAATCAATCTGAAAAGGTAAGGGTGGGGTAAGGATACCTCTTTAACATGGACCATGAGCATTCAGTGTTGCTCGAATGGATCTCAAATACAGACATGGAGGCATTACTTTTTGATTGCATATGTCTCCTTCCTCCTTTTCACTTTTTTTTTTTACATCTGTCCAGGAGCTTCCTATAATTGGTACCGGTCACTGGTGCTCTCTCTGCTCGTGCAGAAGACTGGTATTGTCTCTGCCCCTCCTGTAGTTTTCTGTAGGCAGCCTGTAGTGGGTGGGGCCTGCTGGGTCCCTCCCACAGCTCTGGTCCCTGCAAAGACTATGTACAGCGCAGTGATGAAGCTAATTGTATAGGATAATAGCTGGAGTGCTAAGTAGTGGTGTACAGAAAGTGGATTTATGTCCTTTGTGGCTATTGAGGTACAGTATATATTTAAATTAATGGTTTTTGTACCTGGGGTAAGCTTTTAACCCATCCATGTATTTTGATGTTGGCATTATTGCCCCACTTCTCCTGCTTTTTGTTTTTGGGAAATGCAATCTCAGAATGATTATCCAATTCTACTTTATTAACCAATTCACGTGTAGTTATCAGCCCCTCGGCTGGTAATTTCTAAATGGCAATCTTTCTGTGTTTAGTTTAACAGAGACCGTTGAAGCACTGCAAGTCCTTATTGATGACCTCCAAAAACAAGTGGAAGAACTGAGAAACAACCAGCTGCGTCCCAGCCGTGAAAGATTTGAGCACTCCAGGTCAACGCACAGCTTCTCTTGCCTAAAGGAATTGTATGACCTGCGCAAGTAAGTGCCACAAGTATCTCCTTTTTGAAAGTTCACACATGCTGCTCTTGCATTTGGTTGCATAAAGATTCAGTCATCTGTTCAGCTAACACTGATCATTGTTGTTTTAGTATTACTTAAAGCTTGTATGCAAAAGTCTCTTACTGGAATGATTCCAGTCACCTCCAGTGACAATGCTCACTAGGATAAATAAAGTGGATGAATCGCTCAGAGGATGCACATCAGTAGAAACCCGACAAATGTTCCAAACCCCTTTTGGTCATTAGATATACTTTAACCTCTAATATATATGTATGGGAAATAATTCTTTAATCTATTATAGGGGAGGAATTTTATTTTCTTCCTGTCCATTACTTTATTATCTGCATGTATATGTGTTACTGGTTTATTATAGATAGAGATTAAATGTAAAATATTTTCTGCAGGTATTTTGTATACGATCATGTTTTCGCTGAGAAGATTGCATCTTTAAATGCTCCGCCTGCACCAGTTGAGGAGGAAAATGAGAATTTAAAGAAGACCATGGCAGGTATGGAAGCACAGCTCAGCACAGAACGCACTAAAAGAGAAAGATTAGAGGAAGAATACAACCAGGTTGTGAAAGAAAATGCTGAGCTGGAGCAGATACTCTATGACAGAGACTCCATGCACGCCCGTGCAGAAGAACTGGAGGCAGAGGTGGCAGAAATGCGTCAGATCTGTCGGTCTGACAGTGTATTTGCAAGCAATGTGGAGAAATTGATCCCAGAGTCCATCTTCATCTCCTTCAAAGAAAATGCAGACAAGGATATAGAGCCGGAGTCCATTGTACGGGCCACAGAAGGGGACAAAAAGCCTTTAAAAAGAAGCAACAGTGAAATGATCCTGCCCAGTTCTACAGCAGAAGCCATCCGCAATGGCCATGAGGAGACCTGTATCAGGAGAACGGAAGCTGTGAAACAAAGGGGAATTTCACTGCTTAATGAGGTGGACTCTCAGTATAGTGCTCTCAAAATCAAGTATGAGGAGCTTCTTCAGCGGTGCCAGTTAGAGGACGATTTCTTTAGCCACAAGGGTGTCCAGACCTCTAAGCCGTCTACCAGCCAGTCCAATGTATCCTCTCCAGAAGACGGTTCTCCACTACGCTCCTCATCTACCAAGCACAAAGCTGGTTCTCCTGGAACCCAGCCAGAGTACAAAGTTCTCTTTCAGGAAATTTTTAGCTGTATCAATAAAACCAAAGAGGAAATTAACGAACATCGAACAAAATACAAACAGATTTGTCATTCTAAAGACAGCTAGAGCTCGCTGTATTCTGGGACTTTTGTTTCCATGTTTTCTTTATGTAAAGTATAAGTCCACTTTTCTGACACGTTGATGTTGTAATGCAGGATAACTAAGAAAACACCTTTTTTAATCTGTCCTTCTAAGGTTATGCTTGTAATTATTGTTCTAGGTGGAGAAATACTCAGATTTTACCTATTGCCATGCAGGAGCTGTGTACACAGTGGAATGCTGTTTATATACTCCTTTACACCTATGTTAGCTGACGGTTGTAGAAGTTCATGGCAGAAATGGAACATTTGTTGTTGAACACAAGAGATGCATCAAACCCTTCTCCAGAACTTTTAGAACAAGACAGTTAATAATTAATAGCATTAAAACATATCCCTTCTTTTCAATAACACATTTGTTGGGAAAGTTACGTTATACTTTAGATCTAAATGTATTATGTGTTCCCTTTTTTAAAGCTTGACCACAAGAACACTTGTCATGGCTACCTCATTACCTCATTAGCCTATTTGCAGTAGAGTTCATATTGGCATTGGATTTTACTACATGTAATCCATCCACTTTTAATGTACATACATTTCTGATCTTGGATAAGCTTTAAAGTTTCTGCTTAATTTTGCTCATAGTGAGCTTCTAGTGTTTAAAAAAAATTGAATACCACCTGAATTGTGGAAGTTGGCTCCAAAAGAGGCAAGCAGATGACAAAATTGGTCACCAGTATTGTCTGAGGTCCCATTCTTTTCCTCCTTTTACTGATGTACAGTGCCTTACCCTGAACTGCCTCAGCTTGGTAGAAGAACAGGGCTTTGTTCTCATGTCAGAGCTGCCCTCCTGATGACTGGTCATCTGTTGACTGTTTTAGAAATTATTCAAGAAGCAGTGGAGAGGTGCAGGAAGCCAAGATCCACAGAATGATGAGGAAGCAGGGAGGTGCATGTAGTTCAGTCCTCGGATACAGATTCCTTTGCAGCAAGCGGCACAGTGGTGACATCACCTAATCTTGTGGGACTAGAAGTCACAGGCAGCAGTGGCCCTCATACAGGCATATATCGGGAAGAGCACTGCGTTTATTTAAGGAGTTCAAGACTATAGGTACATTGATTAGGGTACTACTTAGGCACAATTAACATTGCTAGATGTTTGCGATAACATTGCAGATCTTCACTTGTTCAGGTCACGTTAATAGGCTATGTTTTTGCCTGTGTTTGGGGGAAACCCCATAAAGTAGACGCACTTCTGTTGCTTTTTCTCATCTTTTTTATGAAATATATGTGTGCTCCTCTACAGATTAGGAGCATAACCATGTGGTAACAGAAATGTCTTTAAATATATTCTCATGTAAATATATTGAGTTGATACGGTTGTATGGTAGCATCTCTATAAAAGCTAAAAGGATGGTCTAATATGATTCTGTTTCATACAGAGCACAATACTGTGAAGGAAATTTAGAGATGACCAGTACCTTGCACTCGTTATATGCCACAAAATGTAATTATTATTTTGATGGAATCCTTATGTCCATTAAATGGAATTCCAGTATTTACTGTTTTACCTGTTCTCCACACAAAATGTACAAGGGCCACAATGATTATGCTGGTAGAACCAGACTTCCAGGGAATGGTGGCTATCCATCCACAATTGTGTAGGTGACCAGGGAATCTTTACAAGGAGAGTTTTTTTTTTCCTTTTATGATTACCATTATCTATAGTAAGTTGGACCAAATGGTCTGTCATTATCAACTAAAGTAGATGATGACAGAGTGACTTGAATTAAGGAACAGAGTTTGATATTTGTTGTAGGAACCTGTTAATCCATTAAGAATGGGCAACCGGTATAGATCTTAGTTATTTTGCTCTTTTCTTTAGGTTTTGTATCATCGTTATAGAATTTGTCAAAAGAAAGTTAAGCATGAACCACTATAAGAGGAGCCTATAACATGGTAAACAGTAGGTCAGTTAGCCTAGTCTGAAATATTACACATGCTATAAAGGAAGGTGGTATTTGGAACGAATGACCAAAGTATTTCTAAGAAAGAAGTGTGGGCATATTTCCGTAATCCCATGTTCTATACCTGGGCATGAAGGGGGAGGGGAAAGAGATGCCAACAAATATCCGTAGTTACGGTATTTCAAGGAAGCAAGGATAATAAGGCAAGTTATAGTGAAGAACGGAAAATAACGAAAGTGCGTTGACAGTGGGTTGCTAAGAGCAACATATCCACTTTTCCTATCCTGTATTTTTGTATTCCAGAGATAAGGATGGGAATTGATTCAAAGTAACGACTTTTGAAAACAGGCTGTGTTAATTGTGAAAAGTGAGTTTTGGAAGGCAATATGCATGTGTTGGACATTGTATTCATCTCCATAAGGTGATCAATAAAAAGAATGTGTTACCAGAAAAGTCATCTACTTTGTGAACTGCTCAGCTTATTGATTTACCAAAGCAGTCTAATCACTAACAATTGGTTCATATTTGATGGATAGCATTGTTTTTTTTTGTCCATTCCAGAATATACATGGCTGCATTAAAATATTTTCTGTAGAAATATGATCTAGAGCTTGTACTTTTTAGGCTTTCAACATGTGACAGGTTATATCTACAGTACAATTTCAACTGAAGCTGTAGAGATAAAGGGAACAAATACAGAAGTGTATCCAGGCTTATCGTCAAAGCTTGCCAATGAAGCATACTCGGGTATATCAGTATAGCACCATTAAAATGTTGATTTAACATATTTTCCTAGCATGATGCAGGAGCTTTGGTGTCTGGCACCATGAGGAACATCTCTGTGGCTAGACTGTTTGTCTACTCAGTTGGACCATTGTTCCCATGCTGCCTTGTGGGGTGAGAAGCGGCTTACAAAACCAATCGCCCCTAGAGTGTGGCCTTCCCAGTCCACTGTGCCATACCAGATTTTTGTATCCTGTGGTACAACTTCATCTGTACAATATTAAAAAAAAAAAAAAAAAAAAAAGCTTTCTTGCTTGAATCTCATGACCTATGTGTGTTTTTCTTAAATTTGATTTCTTCTATTTTTTTTTTCCTAAGGGTACTTCTGCATTTTTTTTTTTTTTGTCTACATGTGTTTCCACAGAGCTAGTAAGCATAATATTGATTTAGAAAACAAGAAGTAACACTATTTGTTTGTCCCACAAGATGGCATGTTCTTGAAGCATGGCGCATACAGCCTTTGGTTAAGGTGGCTACAGCCATTTGTGGAACATTTTGCCTGGTTGTGTTTGTTGATCGGAGAAAGCTGGCACCTCTATAACCCTGAGGGCCTTAAGCCGTTGAGTACATTTCCAGTACCCTGCTTTCTCCTCCATAGGCACAATTGTGTAAATCCCTCCAATGAGAATTTGCATGCTTATAAAAAAAAAAACAACAAACTTTAATTAGAAAGATTGTTACCAGGTCTTTCAAGCACAGTTGGCCACAATGTTTGTAGTTGGTTAAAAAAGAGGCTGGAAAAGACACCTGACTCTAAGCTCTTCATCCCAGTATACTCAGAGATTGGGCCCTTAGGGCAGCGTTTCTGAACTTTCCTTAGTTATGGCACCCTTAAAAATATATATTACACACACAAAATCTCAAGGTACCCCAGTCTCATGTATAAAAAAATTATATCAGATCCCTATCCTAGAAAGGAATGGCTTTTAGGGGGTGAGCAAAAAAAAAAAAAACAGTCCCCCTTCACAGCAGACCATTGTCACAATGTAATTGCATCAGCATGGCGGAGGGTGGGAAGTGGAGCAGGCCTGGACCAAAATGGATGTCTGTCCTTTCCTTTAGTCTGTGGGAGGTCCTGTATGAAGCCTGCTCTCTATTAGTAGCATTATTATTAGACAGGATTTATATAGCGCCAATAGTTTGCACAGCGCTTTACAAATATAAGGAAGACATTACAATCACAATTTAAGACAAGATGGTAAGGAGGGCCCACAATCTAAAAGCATAGTGTGTTGCCACGGTTTCGGTGGCAGCTTTTAGAGACTGTCCTTTTGAGAGATGGATATAATTTTATTTTTGAGAGGGGAAAGACTAGGCCCTCATGTGGGGGACTTAGGGCTATGTTGCCTTTGTGAAAGTACAAACCATCCATTGCTACAGAGTGTTCAGTATTTCTAAGAGACCAAGGCAAAGATGTCATTTTATGTTAAAAGGTTTGTTCTGTATTATCAAGCTCAGGAAACTCTTAACTCTTGTCAAACTGTGTATAAACATAATATGTTATGTTCATGACCACATTGTTAAAGAATAAGCAAAGAGTCTGAGGATGTGACAGAACTCAAACAACAAGGCCTAGAAATAATACAGGAACTTGGGAAGGCAAGAGATTTTGATGTTTATTCTCTCAACTCAGGAAATAGGATATTGGCTTCAGACTCCCAAATAGGCAGTGACAATATTATACTAGACACACTCACAAATGCTCCATTTATTTTTAGCGTGACATATTCAGGACATAATCACATATATTGAACTGAAAGATAATCGCGGAAAGAACATAGAAGAAATTTGAACTGCCAACAGCAGGAGGATCTCACATACACCACCAACAGCTGGTGAAATATAGGATGGCACATTATTGCAGTGTGAAATAAAAATTGTCTAAGTGTATTTTTGGTAGGGCAGGCTCCTCCCTACTGGGCATGAGGTACAGAAAACTCGACAGTGCAAATTCCTTTTTAAAGCAAAGGCTTCTCCTGGAGGCTAGGAGAAAAACACTATATAGCTAAGAGTTTGCAGACACCTGCCCATCACAGCCATATAAGTTTGCTGGACATCCCATTCCAAAACCACATTAATATGGAGTTGCCGTTTCACAAAATATTCTCAAACGTGTTTAATGTTGGAGGTTGATGCCAGGGTGCAAGTAACACGAGTGCCTCCACATCTAGTTGTTAAACCAGGCCTGTCCACAAGGGCACAGTCACACTAGAACAGAAAAGGGGCTTTCCAACATTATCACAAGTTTTCATTATGCTTAGGTCAGTATGCAGCTGCTCAACTATGGAAACTCATTTCATGAAACTCCCAATGCCAGTTCTCATGCTGCTGTCAATGCCAGCTTTAATCTCCACTGACAATAGG